TCAAATACATAGTACTTTATCCCATACTTTTCTTTTACATATAATTTTCTCAGACACTTTTAGTTATATATATACTATATAACTATAAGTAACATATAGTGCACTTATAACTTATAAGGGAGACACTTAATCTGGTGTTCCCTGTCTTGCTCAAAGGAACAGTGTAACATCAGTCCTGCTGAAGTTTAATTCAAATATAGTCCATTACAAGTGTGCAAAATTAGACTTAATTGCTTAGGATTTTCTGCCCCCTATTGGAGAAATATGCATACAACGAGCCGAGAAACAGAAAAACAGCAGGATGTGTTTTTCCCACTTCGGGCTCAGAAAATATCGCCGCCTCTGAATCAAAATGAAGTAATAGCCGTAAAACAGGAAGTAGAACTAAGCGATACAACGACACGGTAGAAGGTGCATAGTCTGCATTTAGCGCCGTTACAAAGTAAGCAAAGACTTTTAGTTAGCTAATTTAGTCAATTTAGGCTAAAACTATAATTGAATTCAACCAGAGCTATAAAAGCCTTTCATACGAATGTCAGGAATTGTACTGTCTAAATATATGTAAGCTGTTATGTATTTTGCTTTTAGTAAAGTTGCAGTTACCGTAATCTTATAGACATGGCAGACAGGAATCCAGCTATTGTGGTGGTTGGTGCTGGGGTGGCAGGACTCGCTGCAGCCAAGAAACTGAAAGAATATGGATTTAATGACGTCACGGTGCTGGAAGCATCCGAGAGGGTCGGAGGAAGAGTAGCTACTGCAACTCTAGGTGAATAGCCTTCATTATATCTCAAACAGAATTACAGTATTAAGTTAATATATAGAAATGTCATAACATATTAAAAGTTATTCAATAATGTAATAACAATAATTAAATAAAGTATTATTAAATGAAAGTATTATTAATAATCATTTTAAAGGTTTGTTCTTTTTGTCAATTATATTTATTATTCATAATAATGTTTATTATATGATCATTGTTTTAACAAACAAACAAACAAATAAATGTGTGGTTGTGTGTTAGAGGAAGCTAAAATCTGTGAACCCATGGCTTAGTTTCACTTCCTTTAAATATGTATATATATTTTTTTGTGTGTGTGTGCTGTGTCAACAGACTATATCATGTGATTTTAAATCCAATTTATGATGGGACAACGAACTGACCTTTCATGGCATTTTTTACTTTTATGAGGGTATATTTTTATAAACACACAGTATGTGTGTTCCACAGTATGGAAATATGGGGCTTTAAGATAAAATAAAAATATAAATAAGGATAAAATTAAGATAAACATAAAACAAAAAGAACTACAGGAGTTTTTTGTGCATTATTTTATGTATCTGGGGCACTTCCTGTAACACTTTCTCCTAAGCCCTGGTTAATTTCTGACCCTGTAATGCAGTATTCTATGCTGTATTAATATTTAACAATACATATGTTACTGTCTTTCTCTTATTATGTGAAAGGTAATGCATGTGTTGATACCGGAGCACAGTACATCCATGGGGCGTCAGAAGAAAACCCAGTCTACTGTCTACTAAAAAAGTCTGGCCTTCTAAACCAGATCCCTGAGATGGGTGAAGAAGCATTTTATAGTAACAAGGGACACAAAGTAGATGCAAACTTCGCCAGATATGCATATGGAGCTGGGGAAAGCATCATTCGATACCGTGGCTCCAATACGGGAAAGAGTTTAGGTGAACACTATGCAGAAAAAACCCAGGGTATGATTGACAGCTTGCAAGAAGACAATGACAAGAGAACGAGAATGCAGAGTATTTTTGCTTTGGTCGGAAAAGACATGCTGATTGACATTGGAGCTTCAGACCTCCACAGGATCTCTCTTGACTCCTGGCAGTATTATATCAACATGGGTGACAGTCTCAATAGGGTATGATTGACAGCTTGCAAGAAGACAATGACAAGAGAACAAGAATGCAGAGTATTTTTGCTTTGGTCGGAAAAGACATGCTGATTGACGTTGGAGCTTCAGACCTCCACAGGATCTCTCTTGACTCCTGGCAGTATTATATCAACATGGGTGACAGTCTCAATATTGCAGGGTATGATGGGTTGAGAAGAAGATCTGCATTCATTTGCAATTATTGCTCATTAAATGATTCAATTAGTGTTAAATGTTGTGTATGTATGTCAGTTTAATGTTTCAGCTTGTGGATAAGCTGCTGGAGGACTTCCCTAAAGATCATTTGCTGCTGAAAAGAGAAGTTAGTAAGATCAAATGGGATGGATCCTTTTGTGTTGCCCCTCCTCATGATGAACATCTCCTCTCTGCTCACACTGAATCTCCTTCTGAAGAAAAACTCTGCCAGTACCCAGTTTGCATTGTCTGTGAGAATGGAGAAGAGATTGTAGCTGATCATGTAATTGTGACCATTTCATTAGGTATGTGTTGATAAGGATTAAGTATTATGAGTAAATGCTGTCTGAAGTGAGGACTATATAATTGCTTAAGAGATTAATTTTGCTATTTAAAATTGAGAGAGATCTCTCTCTGTGTGTGTGTGTTTTAAAGGTTGTCTAAAAGCACAAGCATCCAGCCTATTCATCCCCAGTCTCCCAACCGAGAAAATGGAGGCCATCGATAAGCTGTGCTTTGGCAATATTGCCAAGATCTTTTTGGAGTATGAAGAGGCATTCTGGGAAAGTGATGTTGGTACTATCAGCCTCATTTATGAAGATGACACCCCTGCCTCAGTATCCACCAATAAAATGCAGTGGCTCAAGAACATGCAATTCTTTTCTGTCCTGAGACCCAAAGAAAGGTTAATGTTGTATCAAACTACAGTGACATTTTCAGTAATAATAATAAAAAATAATAAGTAGTAGTAGTAGCATTGTTATTATGACTGTTAATGGTGCAAAAAGCTGTAGTAACATTATTAGTGTAACTCAGGAAAAAAATATAACATGACACCTTTAACATTGTTACTTGTTAGGGTTTATTAATCTTTAATTCTCTCTTTTCTAGGTTTGGCAATATCTTAATTGGCTGGTGTCCAGGAGACATAGCTGACCTGGTTGAAACCATGACAGACGATGAACTCTCAACTGCGATCACTGATCATCTCAAAATGTTCTTAGGTAAAGAATTCTCTTTAGTAAATATCCATATTATTACTTTTGGGTGTTTGCTAATGTGTAAGTTACAAGACTTTAAGGTTTTTAAAAGTTCTAAAAAATGTATTGGTGAAAGGTTTTTCAAAAATATCTTGTGTTTTTAATATTTTCTGTACTTCCAAGGACATTCAAACATTCCTCAGCCGAAATCCATACTCTGCACCAAATGGCGCAGCAACAAGTTCATAAAGGGAACCTACGCTTTCCTCCCCGTTGGTGTTGATGGGAAAGTTATGGACACACTGGCACAACCACTAGTGGGCAGCCAGCATCCTAATAAAGTATGATTTTTTTTTTCTTAATGGATTATCATTTTTATTTAATTATGGGCTATCAAGGAGAAGGTTTTCATACAGAAGTATGTTTAAAAGAGGGTTAGGATTAGGCCCTCCTTTGTTTTCTTTTCTTTGTGAAAGTATTAAAGTGATTTTTCACTTCATATATTTCAGGATCATCAGGTCCTGTTTGCAGGTGAGGCAACAATGAAGACTCTTTATGGCACAGTGCAAGGAGCTCTACTCTCAGGACACAGGGAGGCAGACAGACTGGCAGCACTTTATAAGAAGACAGTGGCTCCCACTTCCGCTACCTCATTGGACAAGCAAGTTTAGAGAGTTAAAAACTGTTGATAATCTAAAATGTATTCTTTGGGTGATAGTGTCCAATAACCAGTGTTGGGGAAAGTCACTTTTAAAAGTAATGCATTACAATATTGCGTTACTCCCTAAAAAAAGTAACTAATTACGTTACTTAGTTACTTTTTATGGAAAGTAATGCGTTATATTACTTTTGCGTTACTAAATATAAGCAGGGCTTGATTGTTTTTAATATAAGAAGTTCTATTTATAGCAAATATAAAAGCCCTTTCACACCAAAAAGTGTAATGAATAAACCTCAGGCTGAAGTAAAAGTAAATTCACGTCTGTACAGTAGAACGCAGGAGAAGAAACACTCTTCAGCAATAAAAAAACAAAGCACAATTGTTAGTTTATCTAAAGTCATTTTTGCTTATTAGTATGGTTGAACTGGATCATCAAAGGTCAGCAGCAAAGACATTGGTTAATAAAATGGGATTAGATACATTTGTGTTATTTAACATATTTAATTATTGCAGGTTTGCGTCATATTCTGAGTTTGCATTTCATTGTTTTAATTCATTTTGATTAATACTAAATCTGTTTTTTGTGAGTGGGATGAATTAATGCACATTCACATTTAGTCTAGAACTACATCATGTTCACACAGCGCACCCAACTCCTCTGCACTTCCGATTTCTCCCAATATGGGGACAGGAGAGCTGTCAGTCAATAAATGGGAAAACAAAGTAACTGGCATTACTTTTTTGAAAACGTAACTCCGATATTTTCGTGTAAATTAAAAAAATAATGCGTTACTTTACTAGTTACTTGAAAAAAGTAATCTGATTACGTAACTCGCATTACTTGTAATGAGTTGCCCCCAACACTGCCAATAACAGGGAAATTACAGAGAAATGTTTTTGACAGGATGTGATCGCCACCATGAGGCTACTCTGTGTAAAATAAAAGAATTGTAACATTTTTTTAAGAGCAGAACTATTTTAATTAAGAAAAAAGACTGAGAATTTAATATTTTACTGTTGTATACTGTACTTTTTTATATCATTATGTATTTTATATGTTTTTTTATGACGAGCTGAACATATGATCAGAATTTCAAACTATGTTTTTAAATAAAATATTGCATGCTACATTTTGGTTTGATTATTAAAATTCTAAGCAGCTGGTTTGCACGAATCTATTTTATTTAGAGGAAAAATAACAGCTTCTATTTCTTCATGTGAACAAAAATCCAAACAGAACGAACAGCGGAACTATTGGCAGTTGCAGCACAAGTTTCCAGGCGGAGCATGTTATGCTGGTACACCCCCATGTCATTTGTTGATGGTGACCTTCTTCATTCTGTAGAGTTCTGTTATTATGTTCTTACACTTGTGAATATATTTACTACAAAGCCGTGTCCAGTGTTGCAAATGTTATGGTCATGGCTTTAAATACAATTGGTCAGCCTTGCATGAGTATATTTAGGTAAGTAAGTTTGTGAACCGATAGCACATTGAGTTCTCTCATCTTTGGTATAGTGTGGTAGTGAATGTATTTTCGTGTTTAGAGTTATGTATTAGTTTTAAGATATTTTTGTTCCCATTCACAATTTATTAGACCTGCTTATGGAAGGATTTTGCTTTCTTAACTAACGTTATTTCCTTAATGACAAGTGTCTCTATAAACCGTCAATCGATCTGACTTCGCGCAGAATGAGATCAGAGGATTCAGGTTCTGACGCTATTTCGTTATTTTTCGATTTTACTACAGCTAGCTTAAACATCATCGATGCGCAGAAAAGTTTAGATTGTGAATTTCCGTTGATTGTTTTGCACAGGTGTCTTCAGGCTGTAGTCACCCACAGGTGCTTGCAAGCCACATCCACATTTCACACCACAGTCTTTCAGTCAAACTCAAACAGAACGTGTGTGGTCCGCTTTGGGAGGCAGAAGTATGAGAGTATGTATCCGGTTCTGTTGGTGAGACCTGACGGGTCCACCATCAACATCAGATATAAAGAGCCCAGAAGAATAATGAAGGTTAGTGGTTTATATTCTAGGCTTTTTCGTTGAAGGTATACTTCACCCAAAACCGAAAATTCTGCCATTATTTACTCAATGTCATGTTGATGTAATACTTTTTTTTTTTTTCAGTTGAACACAAAATGATATTTTTTTTTGAAGAACTGTCATACAATGGCAGTTCGAAATGTCATCCAGTTTTTTTTTTTTTTTTTTAAAGGACCTGAGGTTGGTGTTTTGAGTCAGTTATCAATAGTTTTTACTGTATTTTTTTCCCCTACCAGATGCCTATGGACATCACCACCCTCTCGGAGGAGGAGAGGAAAATCAGAATGCGGAAAAGAGAACCGAAGAGGACAGCAAAACAGAAATTGAATGATTTTGAGGATGATTTCAAAGTTGATGATTACAGCAAATTCTGGAAGAAGAAATGAATGGACTGATGCAGTTGAATGCCTCATTCAGACTATTTACGTATGTTTTCTCGTGTACAATATTGCAATTTTGTTTTGTATGTCACTCTGCAATTAAAAAGTCTTGCAATGTTTGTTGTCATTCTCTGCCTTTTTTATTTGTTGCTAAATTGTAGCATTAACTTTTTTTTCTTAAGTATTCTTATATATATGTTCTGTACTGATCAAAAGTGCTTCATTTTTCTAGTTTTTAGGAATTAATACATTTAGATTATTATGCTTTATGTGTCATAATGCGTAACTCTCAGCATTGCATTCTCAGCATTCTCTGGAACAGGCTGATTAATTATTAATGAAGTTAGCACCTGCTTCAAAGTTCACACTTTTGCCTCAGGCATTGTACAAAATGCCAGCTTCACCTGAGCTTGTAACGGGCACCCCAGAGCCCGAGGTGCCTAGGAAGTTTACTTTGGAGGCTGCTGTTATTGCTGTGGTTGTGGTTTATTTTGTGTTTGTGTTGGCAGTCGGAATATGGGTAAGTGAAAGTCTGCAGCCTAGTAATATTTTCATTGATGTAGAGAATTCTGTAATTCTTGATGCAGAGATAGAACTGGTGTGTTTTTGATTTGAAGTCCTCAATCAGAGCCGACAGTGGGTGGATACTTCTTGGCTGGACGATCCATGACCTGTTGGCCAGTGAGTTTTTGTGTGTTTACTCTAATGAAGCTGGAATTGTTTATTTTGTGGATGTCTACAAGGAAGCATCTTGATTTTTAAAGTCCTTATCTGGAAAGCGGAAATAATGAAATCAACGGACTCTTCTAAATTTTTTTTTTTTCATGTAAACGCATTATGAAGTGAATGTGTTTTACATTAAATAAATGAAATAATATATAACAGTTATACACGTTCACAGATCATTTGTGTTTAGTGTGAAGAAATTTCTTTTTCAGCTTGGTTTATCATAGCTTTGTTTAGTTTTGAAAGCGTTTTCTCAGTATGTCTCTCTTGTGTTGTGTTTCAACAGATTGGAGCCTCTTTGATGTCAAGTAACGTAGGCAGTGGTCTGTTCATTGGATTAGCAGGAACAGGAGCCGCAGGGGGACTCGCAGTCGGGGGATTTGAGTGGAATGCACGACTGACAAATCAGTCCTCATCCTACAAGATTTCAGTTTTGTTTCAGTAATTACTAATTTCACTTGTAGTTGTCTAAGGCTAATCAAATGTTTGACTGTTTTAATGCATCACATGCTGAAACAAAACTTCTTATCAGACATCAAGTATGATGCTCTTTAGGCAGCATGGGTCCTCATTGCCTTGGATTGGATCTTTGTGCCCATGTATATTTCTGCTGGAGAGGTCACAGTGCCAGAGTATCTGAGGAAGAGGTGCGGGGGTCAGCGCATCCAAATCTACATGAGTGTGCTCTCTCTCATCCTCTACATTTTCACCAAGATATCAGTAAGACTCCTTAGTTTAATAAATGTGAATGAAGTATTATTAAATAATATATAACAATTATTCTGTATTTGTTATATATGTATTGAGTATATTTGTTAAGCACTTGTTATATATTAATGTAAAATAAAACAACAGTACATTAATACAAACAGACACTTTCCAAAACTGGAAGAAAAAAAATGGTAATCTGATATATAACTAGAAAAAAAGTATTCAATTACAAAAATATGCAAATTAGAAGGACAAGAGGACTTTATATTGTTATGTATTGTTTTACATTTAAATTATAATGATAAATGAGTCTATAGCATGAATGAAACATGTTTTTATTTATACTTAAGCCAAAGCACAACAATACAGTATGCTATAAAGTCTACAATAACAGTAAACAACAAATAGCATTTCAGCATAGTTGTAAGTTTTAATGTATGAGTAATAAAGTTATTCATAATCATAACCGTGTTTTTTCCAGACAGACATTTTTTCAGGGGTTTTATTCATCCAGGTGTCTCTGGGATGGGACATGTATGTCTCCACTGTTGTGCTGCTAGTCGTCACTGCACTCTATACTATAGCTGGTAATAAAACAACACATAAATGACTGATACTTCCGATAACTTAGGGGGTCAGCATGGGTCACAGCATTATGCCTAAATGTGATTCTAGATTAAATGCTTAAATTGGTGGCTTGTTTTAATGCAGGTGGCCTGACAGCAGTTATCTACACTGATGCCTTACAGACCGTCATCATGGTAATAGGAGCATTTGTCCTCATGTTCATAGGTATAGATCTCTCGCTGATGAAATGTTATACTTACAAGAATTATTCCAGGGTAAGAACAGTGAATGCATTTCAATTGAATTTCCACTGACAGTATTCGACAAAGTTGGCTGGTATGACGGTTTGCTGGTTCAGTATGAGAGAGCTGTACCTGCTATCACAGTTCCCAACACCACTTGTCATCTTCCTCGGTCCGATGCCTTTCATATCTTCAGAGATCCAGTGACAGGAGATCTTCCTTGGCCAGGCCTAATTTTTGGACTCACTGTTCTGGCCACATGGGTGTGGTGCACAGACCAGGTAAATTTATAATACTGTAGATTTTTGCTTGAATTAGTATTCAGCAGAGGATTTCACAAATGTGTCTCTTTAAGCGTAAAAATAGTTTTACAGCAAGCAGTTGCATCTGTTTCATGTTTGAAGGTGATAGTGCAAAGGTCTCTCTCTGCCAAAAACTTGTCCCATGCCAAAGGCGGTTCGGTCAAGTGGGTATGACAACCTTGTGTTTTTTTTCAGAATAATCAGATGTGTGATTTTTCAATTAGTTGAAATTTTCTGTCCACTAGGATCATTTTACAGTTTTTCTCAATTGCTTTGGCTCAATTCTCTAATGAAACTTTTTTTTCCCGAAACAATAAGTTCAGATCTCTGAACAATTAGCTTCTTGTTCACATCAGATTGGAATTTCTTATTGATTTGAGCAAATCGCAAATGCTTTGGCACATGTGTGCAAACAGTAAGTACAATTGTCTGCAACAGTTTAGAGAATGTTAAGATTGATTCGAAAAATGTGCCAAAGCAATTGACAAAAACTGTAACAAAATTAATTCTATCGAAAATGTTAATAAACTAACAATTGTTCTAAATAGCATCAATAGTATAATTATATTATAATAAAATATTTAAATTATAATATATATCTGTGATAAATTATAATAGATGTTATAATTTAAATATTTTTTTATGTCTCTATAGTTACTTTTCCTTATTTTTTAAGAGAAACGTTAATGTTACTTTTGCCAGAATTTCAATTTTAAGCTTATTTTCTACTCAGTTCTTTTGATACGATTTTGATAAGCAGTGACAGTTTGAAGATCATAATGGGAAAACATATTTCAAAGTACTTTTTAAGTGCCTTCAAAATGCCTCATTCAAATAATTTATGTAGTGAGAGAGAGCCTATAATGCTCTTGTACAACAAAAAAAAGGGATGTAAAACCTATCAAATATGTTGACTGCTACAACAGAGATTACAGAGCAACAATGATGTTCCTCTTGCTCTTGATTTGCTAATGCATTCTTTCTTTCCTTGTAATTGTGTTGTAGGTTTGAGAGGTCTGATGATCGCTGTAATGATGGCAGCGCTCATGTCCTCTCTCACCTCTATATCCAACAGTAGCAGCACTCTGTTCACCATGGACATATGGCAACGTATTCGGCCCCGGGCCACTGAGAGAGAGCTCATGGTAGTGGGCAGGTAGTCTGTTAAATGTTTTGTGGAAAAACTTTCATTTTGAACATACAGTATTTTTCAGAAATAAACTGAAGTATCTTAAAGAAGTGAATGCTGTCATTATATGCATACAAACTAGTTCAACGAATGTGGAACCAGTCCTCCACCAAGTGGTTTAACCACATCAGGGTGGTTTTGTTGACCTGTTTTGGGGCGATAAAGGCACCATTTGAGCTTTGATACTTGATATACAAACTGTCAGTGAGGTTCATGAAACACGAATAAGTTCAAAATCAAATCAGACCAGTTGTCCTTTTCCATAATATACACTTTTATTTTACTGAACAGCCTGAGTCTCATGGGTCTTAATTGCTGCTGTTTACTTACATCCACAGGGTGTTCATTTTATTGCTAGTGGCCTTGAGCATTGTGTGGATTCCAGTCATTCAAACAGCTAATAGTGGACAACTCTTTGACTACATTCAGTCAATCACTAGCTACCTGGCACCTCCCATCACCACAGTGTTCATTATGGCAATCTTATGGGGGCGAGTAAATGAACAGGTGAATTAATAAACCTTTTCTTGTGCCCATGCAATAAAGTGAAAGTTCAATGGCCTATAACACTTGATGCATTTATTTTAAAAAGTTTGTAAAACATTCAAGTTAAGTTGTTTTCTTTTTATCTTGCACAGGGTGCTTTTTGGGGTCTGATGGTGGGACTAGTGGTGGGCACTGTGAGGATGGTAATGGAATTTGTGTACAGCACCCCATCATGCGGAGAAAAAGACCTGCGTCCTGCCCTGCTGAACGATGTGCACTACCTGTATTTTGCTCTCATCCTGCTTGCACTGACAGCTCTGATCATCACAGCTGTCAGCCTCTGCACTGCACCTATTCCAGAGCAACATGTAACTATGGATCGCGATCCAAATACATACACATTTAAAGAATTCTTTATCCATTTGTATACAAAATGTACAAAAAGGAGATAAATGCTACATACCCAATTTGTGTATTTCTATGCATTTATATTGGTTTAAAATGTTAAAAAATGCATATTACAGACTAATCCCACTCCTAAAAACATTTAGCATTTTTTGTTTAATTTTAGTGATTAATTGTAATTTAATTAATTTATGAACCACTTTCTTCCCTATTAATGTCCACAAAAATAAGTTTTGTCAGGTTTTAGCTACTCAAAGTACCAACACAACATGTACACTACCTTCATTTTGAAAATTAATTTATAAAGGCAAGGCTTTCATTTCTTTATTGGCATTAAAAACAGCAAAGAAAGAATGTATAATGTATTATTTATTTATATATTGGTTATACTTTATTTTGATAGTCCACTTTAGACATTCTACTAACTATAAGTAACTTTGCAACTAACTCTTAATTAACTTGCAACTGTATGTAATCTAACTCTAGGTTAGGGTTAGTAGAATAAGTTGCAAAGTTACTTATAGTCAGTAGAATGTCTGTTGGGGGACCATCACAATAAAATATCAGATATTAAGCAGACTGTCTACTAATACTCTAATGACTGGTAGTTGACATGTAGTTACAAAGTTAATTATAGTTAGTTGAAGGTCTAAAGTAGACTATCAAAATAAAGTGTTACCTACATATTTATATGAACAAAACATATTATTGAAGACAATATTTTAGTAGAAACACACACTGAACATGAGCTAATATAACACTTATATTTCATTTTAGCTCGTTCGTTTGACCTGGTGGACAAGACACAGTAAGAAGGAGCGTGTAGAGCTGGAAGACCCCTGGGCTAGAGGGTCCCAACTAGCAGGCTCTGCTCCGAGCACTACAGAGTCAGAGGGGTCAGATGAGGATACGCCTGCATGGTGGAAGCATGCTGGAATGTGGCTGTGTGGTCTCTCCCATGTGGCTAAACAAGAGATGAGTGAGGAGGAACAGAAGGCTCTGGAAAGGAAACTCGCCAGTATTGAAGAAGACTGGCTGCAATGTTAATGCCCTTATTTTCAGTGGTGGACGAAGTACACAAATCAAGAACTTGAGTAAAAGTATAGATACGTATAATAAAATATTACTCCAGTAAAAGTAAAAAGTAAAACTACTCCGTTACTGTCCACCACTGCTTATTTTACTCACTGTCAATGTCTTTCTTTGGGGGTACTTTGCTTAAATAGCTTGGAAGGACCCCCTTTTTTTTGTTTGTTTTTTGTTTTTGTAAGAAACTCAACAATACTGGTGAAAAACACATCTGGTTGTCTGCAATTAAATGCTTTCATTTTATATATTGTCAATGTCTTTTTTTTTACTTTAATGTACAATAAACGTTGTGAATAGCACATTTTTGCTGTTATTTTGGTGAGTTGATTTTTTATTTAAAAAAAGAGTCAGATTTTGAATTAACTTTTAATTTTAAAGTTTATTAAAAGCAGCTTGCTGTCACAGTGATAATAACTAAACATATATACTGTAATAATGCGTGCTGTGTCATAATGACAAAGCAAAAAAAGTAAGATGCCTCTAATCATTCTCACCCAGGGGTGGGGCTTCACCAGGCACACTGTAAAAAAAAACTTATTTTACGGAATTTTACCGTTTTATTTTACAGTTTTTTTCACGTATTTTTGAAATACAGTTAAAAATGGTAAAATTACAGAAATAGACTGTAAATTTACTAATCCAGTGTAAAATCACATTAAAAAAATTCAATGTACATACCCCAGAAAATATTTTTTGAAGATTTTTTTCCACATAGCACCAATTTATCGGTGCGCTCTATATATATATATGTGTGTGTGTGTGTGTGTGTGTGTGTGTGTGTGTGTGTGTGTGTGTGTGTGTGTGTATATATATATATATATATATATATATATAGCATTAATAATATAATATTTCATAAAATTGGTTGCAACAGTATCGATCCTAGCAAAAAGCACTGCATGCATGTCATCCCACTCGCAAATTACGCCTTGGATTCACATTATTTGCCTCAAATCAGCACAGATTTTTCTTCTGCCAGCTTATTCTAAGCAGAGTCTCAGTAACTCATGAACTAAGCAGCTGACTTAAATGAGGGGTGAGATGTCAGCTTCTTTATGTCTTTTCATGGTTTATGAAATTGATATGTTGATTAAAACAAGTTTATATATTTTTTATATAATTATTATTGATATAACATTTTGTATATGTACGTCATTGCGTGTTTGCGTAAAAGAGCAGGTGAATCAGTTTTTGAACCGGTTTGTTGAAACGTCCTACCCGAAAGAATCAATTCGACCAAAAGAAGAATCATATTTCCATACTACTGTCACTGACTGACCACATCTTCTTCCGCTTATCAAAGTAGTTCTGCTCAGTTTACTGTTTTATTACGCATTTATTCCAACAGTATCGTTTCATAATGTGATATAATAATACGCTAATATTTCAATTACAAAAATTAAGACTTTAAATATTCGAACTCAAGGAATTCCCGCCCTGGCGCAAGGATACGTTCTCCTCCAAGCACGCAGTGGGGCTGCTGTGCGCGCGAAAGGAATCACTCGACCTTCAGATTTGCGTTCAATCTTCGATGTGAGGTGAAAATAAGCAGGTAAGTTAAAGTACATGTTTTCTAATTTGGTTATGCTACTTCTACTATATTTGAGTCCTAGCATTTAGAATGTTTACCTTTTTGAATCGTTAAACCAGTGTGTGTTTCAAACTTCGGCGCTGACCAGTACCGTTAGTCATTTAAAATCTTCAAAAAGTGTCAAATTTAGGTTTCATTTGATGTTACTGTGTAGTTTTTCTTTCTTTTTGTTAGATTTTATCCGAATCTTACTACATAATTTAGTAGTTTTAGGTTTCGTTACCAAGTAGGCTAACTGCTATATTGTCCCTGAGGGAAAAACTTTAAACACATTTGTGTTTTAAGAACGTTTAGCTCAGGAGTTATTGATCAGGTACGTTAACTTAAGTTCGAATCTGTGAATATGTTGCCAACTTTACCGAACTTCGACGCATAGTGCACTATTTTTAATCAGTTTTTATATACATAATCGTAGGCGTCGTCTTAAAGCTCTAAAATGTTATTTTCCGAGTCGAGGTTGGATGAAAGTTCTGAATTCAGAAACAGATTAATTAGGACCAGCGCTTAAAGTGACCCAACCCCTCCCAGCGCGATTCTCACTCTCACACGCATTACATACACACACTCACACATGTCCTCACACACACGCTCTCTCACACACGCGTCCTCACATACCACTCACTCTCTCAAACACTTTTTCAACACACACTCACTTCACACGCATCCTCACATACACTCACACTCACAAACACTTTTTCAACACACGCTCACTTCACACGCATCCTCACATACACTCACAAACACGTTTTCAACACACACTCACTTCACACGCATCCTCACATACACTCACACTCACAAACACTTTTTCAACACGCACTCACTTCACACGCATCCTCATATACACTCACACTCACTTCACACGCATCCTCACATACACTCACACTCACCTCACATACACACACTCTCTCAAACGCATCCTCACACACACACACACACTCTCACATACACACACTGTCACACACGCATCCTCACTCACTCTCACATACACACACTCTCACACATGCATCCTCACACACGCATCCTCATACTCACACTCTTACATACACACACTCACATCCTCACACACACACACACACTATCACACACACATTCTCACACACACACACACACTCTCACATACACACACATCCTCACACACACACATCCTCACACTCTCACATACACACACTCTCTCAAACGCATCCTCACCCACACATCCTCACACTCACACACTCTCACATACACACACTCTCACACACGCATCCTCACACACACATCCTCACACTCACACTCTCACATACACACACTCACACACGCATCCTCATACTCACACACACTCTCACATACACACACGCATCCTCACACTCACTCTCACATACACACACTCTCACACACGCATCCTCACACACACACACTCTCACACACGCATCCTCACACACACACCCTCACACTCACACACTCTCACATACACACACACACACACACTCACACACGCATCCTCATACTCACACACACACTCACACACACATCCCACACTCACATACACACACTCTCACACACGCGTCTTCACTCACACTCACATACACACACACTCTCAAACGCATCCTCACACACACACACACTCTCACATACACACACTGTCACACACGCATCCTCACACTCACTCTCATTTTTTTTTTTTCATGCCCTCATCTGTTGTCAGGATGAATTGATCTGTTCACGGGTGGTTCAGTTTTTTTTCCAATTTAATTATTAATTGTTATTTGTTTACCAAACTGCTATATTGTTGCCGTTTTGAACAATTCCTTTTATTGTGTATTGTTGCAATTATGATAATTGTTTATATTTTTATACTGTTGCAGTTATGAATTGGTATGTTGTTGCAGTTGTGATCGAATTTTAACTTTTGGACTAATTTTTAAATTGAAATATTGTTGCAGTTATGATCATTTTTAAAAATATTTTTATACTATTGCAGTTATGAACAAATTATTGGAATATTGTTGCAGTTGTGATCAAAGGGAATTTTACCGTTTTTTTACGGGATTTTTTTTTACAGTGCAAGGTAGATAATATAATATTATATTATAACTTGTATATTATAACTTATTAAAATACTAAACACATATATTTCTTATTTTAGTTTGTCTCAACAATTGTTTTCATTGATGAGCATGCAGTGTAGAAATGAACAGATTTGTGATTCTTATGATTCACTTCTTGTCTTTATAAATAAGCAAGCTTGAAAGTCAGCAGCGTTGTTATCATTATTGAAGAATGGGGTCCTTTGAATATTGTGTTGGAGTTGGACAATAGGGGGCCTCAGAAAGTTTGAACGTTGCTTTAAATCACTCATCCGATCCATTTTGGGTTGATCCTCGCCAGGTTTTCCAGCGCATCCCATCCATATTCTTAATGTGGGTGTGAAACTCTCTGCTCTACCTCCTCGCGACTTGAATGAACTACAAGTTCAAAGTCATACTACACTGTTTAGTGTACTCGAGAGAGAGGGAAACATTGTACCCGAGGCTATTCTACGGTTAATAGTTACATATAGACAACACTTGTTTCCAGTCACCGATTTTTACGGAGCAATGGAGCCTCATGTAAATGCGAAGCAGCTTTTTAATCACGCGACAACCCTAAAGCTTCACACGGGGAATTTAGTCAACCGCAGTCGACTTAAGAAGAAATGTCCGTCTTCAACTAGCGAGGAGGTAAGTGACATGAGTTTGTGGTGCTCATGGTGCATCTTGGTCCATTTTGGCAACACAGGCATAGCATGTTTTACAGTGTGATATTGTTCGGTGAAGGAGTTCGGCCAAGGGTCACCCCATTATTTATGATGATACGGTTGCCGTTGATTTTGTGAAGTCCGATTCTTTTTTTTTGAACATCGGCTCCTTCGGACGGTTCATTCACCGAACCGGTTCACAGAATCTTTTGAGACGTCACTCGTGTTCCTGGACGTATCATCTACGAACGCTTAAAAAGGGTCACTACGTATGTTTTCAATATAAATTCAATATAAATAATGTGTTGTTTTAGTTGTAGACACTGGATTTTATGTACACTTGTTTTGTATTTGGATTCTGTCATGATTAACCTAATTAGGTTAATTATACTTTTCCTCGATATATTGTCATTACTGTTCGAAAAAAATTGGTGATATGTTTCTTTGTTTATGTTCCGGCATGACTCCCACCTTACAGTCGAAAGCTTTGCGAATCGGTTCAGTCGAATCATTAAGATTGACTCGGCTCACAATAACGATTCCGGGGCTAAAATATATGATGCGTCTTCTTCCATTAATGACGTCAGTGGCTAGTTTGCCTCGTGCTGCTCATGACATGCCACTGTATGCAAAATGCGGTATGAGAAATTGCAA